TGGGATGCATTAGTAGCTCATTTATTTGGTGTCTTTTCAATTTCATGATGTAGGCATCAATCGCTGTAAACTTTTTCTTTAACACTGCTTTTGCCATATCCCATAAGTTTTGATAAGTTGTCTTTTCATCTTCATTTGTTTTCAGAAAATATTTTATTTCTCTTGATTTCTTTAATGACCCACTGTTCATTTAGGACCATGTTGTTCAGTCTCCATGTGTTTGCATGTGTTCTGAGAGTCCTGATCTGTTGTTTTCCAATTTTCTTCCAGTGTGGTCAGAGAAGATGTGTGGTATGATTTATATTTTTTTGAATTTGCTGAGACTTGCTTTATGGCCTAGCATGTTGTCAATCCCAGGGGAAGTTCCATGCACTGCTGGGAAGAATGTTATTCTGCAACTGTAGGATGAAAATTCTGTAGGTATTTGTTAGGTCCATTTGGTCTATAGTGTCGATTAGCTCTGTTGTTTTCCTTGCTGATTTTCTGTCTGGGTGATCTGTCCATTGCTGAAAGTGGGGTATGGAAATCCCCCATTAGTATTTTATTTGAGTCTATGTCTTCCTTTAGATCTCTTGACATTTCTTTTAAATAGCCAGGTGCCCTATAATTGGGTGCATATACATTTATAATAGTTCCTTCTTCTTGTGCAGTTGATCCCTTAATCATTACATAGTGCCCTTCTTTGTCTCTTTTGTTTTAAAGTCTATTATGTCTGATATTAGGATGGTTACACTAGCACTTTTCTGGTTTCTGTTATCATGGAATGTCTTTTTTAATCCTTTCACTTGTAGTCTGCATGTGTCTTTGTTAGTGCAATGTTTTTCTTATAGGCAGTAAATAGATGGGCTCTGCTTTTTGATCCATTCAGCCCGTCTGTGTTTTTAGCTTGAGGATTAAGGACATTTACATTCAAAGTGACTATTGATAAGTAACTTCTTTGCCCTGCCATTTCTCCATAAATATTCTTATTTTTTATTTTGGATTTCCTTTTTACATTTACTTGGAGATTTTTCTTCCTTTACCTTCTTCCACAGTGATGACAATGTTTTTATGTTTCTGTGTGTAGCATATCCTTAAGCATCTTCTGCAGGGCTGGATAGGTGGTGACAAATTCTTTCAGTTTCTGTTAGTCATGGTAAGTCTTTATTTCACCTTGATTCATAAATAAGAGCTTTGCATGGTATAGTATTCTGGGTTGACAGTTCTTTTCTTTTAAGTCTTGGAATATATTTCACCATTCTCTTCTAGCCTGTAGGGTTTCTGATAAGAAATCTTCTGTGATTTTAATTGGCGATCTTCTGAAACTAATCTGGCATTTCTCTCATGCACATTTTAGAATCTGTTCTTTGTTTTACTGTGGAGTGTTTGATTACAATGAGTTGTAGTGAAGATCTTTTCTGGTCATGTCTATTAGGAATTCTATGCGCTCCTGTACTTGGATGCCCTTTCTTTCGCTGAATTAGGCAAGTTTTCTCTTATTATTTCACTAAAAAGGCCTTCTAATTCTTTCTGTCTTTCATGCCTTCAGGAACTCCTAGAACCTGTATGTTGATTTGTTTGATAGTATTCTGTAGATTTCCAACAGTGTTTTTTATTTTTATAATTTCTTCTTGTGTTTGGTCTGTATAATTTCCTGTGCTTTGTCTTCTATGTCAGGTATTTTTTCTTTTGCTTCATTGATTCTGTTGTTAAGGCTTTCCACTGCATTTTTTATTCATTCTATTGAATTCTTCATCTCCAAGATTTCATTTTGCTTTTCTAAGATCTCAATTACATGAGAGAAATTTTCTTTCATGTCATGTATGAATTTAATTAATTCATACATTTGCTTCTGATTGTTTCTAAGTAATCCTATGATCAATTTTTTTGAATTCCATTTCTGGCATTTCTTTCAATCTCATCATCTTCACAATCTAATATTGAAGTGCTGTGTTCTTTTAAGGGCAGCCTGTTGTCTCCTTATTCTTTTTTCTTGAATTGGTGTGCTTGTTTTTGGCATTTTGGGAGATACTCATTGGTTTCTGCTCTGTTTTTCCACTGACAACTTGTATCTTTGGACTATGAGTGGATTAGTGGAGTGTCTGCTTTTCAGGGAATTCCTAGTGACCTATGGTGTGTGTGGCCAGGGAGTTCTGTTTAGTTCTCCAGGGTGAAGGGTGTGTCTGAGGTGACACACCCAGTTTTGGCATGGTAAATCTTTTATTTTTATTTTTTATTTTTATCAGAAGGGAGGTTTCTTCTTGTCTCTTGGCATAGACTCAACTGAGCTTCTCTCCCGTAAAAGACTAGTGCCAGTGCCACAAGGACCACACAAAGTATTTGCGCAGTCCTCAATGTAAGCAGATTCCCCAGCAATGTCCCTTGCCAGGTAACCAGGGAGCGCTGATGTGTGGCGCCTCCCACAGTGACTACCCAAAATCCCAGCCACATTCTGAGTCCTCCCACATAGCCTCAATGTTTTCACAGTCCTCACACACAAACCTCCCACAGTCAAAAGCACCTAGCCCCAGTCTGTTCTCCCCACCAGGCTCAGGATTCTCTGCTTGGCTCTCTGCTAGACAGGGACATGAATTGGCACAGATGTTATGTATGTCCAAAATGGCGCCTGCTCTCTGTCAGCTTGTTACAGGACACCTTTGCAGAGTGATCGGGGACAGAGAAAACGTACCCCCCACCCCTTTGTTTTTTCTCCTCTAGTTTGGCGGGTACACTATTGCCCATAGGGCTCCAAACCAGATTCCATCTAGACTATTCTGGCAGCTTTTTCACCAGCGACTTGGTCTTACCTCACTTTCCAATGCTGGTGCAGAGGCTCTCAGCTGCTGAGGTCCTAAGTTGTGCACATCCTCACCCTCCATGTTGGTCCAGTGTGTTCCTCCAATTTGTGTAGAATTTCCTCAGTTGTTTTCTCCCTAACTGGTTCCTGAGACTGCCTACAAGGATTTTATTCAATGAATATTTACTAAGTATCATAAGAACCTCACTTTATCAGCTCTGGGATACTGTCAGTTTTAAGATGTACCCTTAGGGCCGGTGCCAGCATCCCATATGGGCAGATTTCTTAATAATATTGTAAGCAAGGAAATACTGAGAAGGCATGGCCTGAAGCGCCAGCATCCAATATGGGTGCTGGTTCTAGTCCGGCTGTTCCTCTTTCGATCCAGCTCTCTGCTATTGCCTGGGAAAGCAGTGGAAGATGGCCCAAGTCTTTGGGCCCCTGTGCCCATGTGGGAAACCTGGAAGAAGCTCCTGGCTCTTGGCTTTAGATCTGTGCAGCTCCAGCCATTGGGGCCAGTTGGGGAGTGAACAAGTGGATGGAAGATCTCTTTCTCTCTCTCTCTCTCCCTCTCTCTGTAACTCTGTCTTTAAAAAAATAAATAAACAAACAAACAAAGGGCCACACTGTGGCACAACGGGTTAAAGCCCTGGCCCAAAGCATCGGCATCCCATATGGGTGCCAGTTCTAGTCCCAGCTGCTCCTCTACCAATCGAGCATCTCTGCTGTGGCCTGGGAGAGCAGTAGAAGATGGCCCAAGTCCTTGGCACCCACGTGGGAAACCCGGAAGAAGCTCCTGGCTCCTGGCTTCAGATCGGCGCAGCTCTAGCCATTGCGGCCATCTGGGGAGTGAACCAGTGGATGAAAGACCTCTCTCTCTGTCCCTATCTCTCTCTGTAACTGTCTTTCAAATAAATAAAATAAATCTTAAATAAATAAATAAATAAATGAACAAAACCCCCCAAAATTTTTAAAAACGATATACCCTTAATTCTTGTTATAATAAGTGAAAAAAGTTGCCACTTTTTGACTGATATACCATATTTTTAAGATAATTCGAATTTTGATATTGAAATGCTTTTAAAAAGCATCTTTAATTTATGAGATACCTGCATTGAAGTATTTCTGATATTTTACAATTTAGAGATACCACTGAGAAAATCTTTTCTTTCATTTGTAAGATTTATCATGCTACCTTTAGCTTTCTTGAAGCTTCTTTATCCACATATGTTTATTTTAGTTCTTTTTCTTGGCTTCCCAACTATTTTGCCATCCTGGGCATTTTTCTTTTTAGATGTTTTATGGTTTGTTAAACTCCTTAAAATTAAATATAACAAACTTAAAAACTTTATAAAATATTAAAATTATCTAGAAAGTAAAATACTTGTGAAACTTATGAAGTCAGATTTTAACTTGACAAGATTTTCATTGTTATTAAAATCTAAAGCAATCCATAACAATGAATAAATTGTATTAATTTTGACAAATAAGTTTAAATTTTATGCATATTTCTTACTCTTTTAACTGTGCTTAAATACATTATTTTAATTAACATTTTTTAAAAACATTGGATTCCAATACATGTATTCTCAGTATTTCCTTGCTTACAGAATTAAGAAATCTGCTCATGATTTTTTTGTTTTTAAAGATTTATTTATTTGAAAGGTAGAGTTACAGAGAGTCAGAGAGAGAGAAAAAGGTCTTCCATCCTGCTTCACTCCCCAGATGGCTGCAATGGCTGGCACTGTGTCAATCCAAAGCCAGGAGCCTGGAGCTTCTTCTAGGTCTCCCACGTTGAGTGCAGGGGTCCAAAGACCTGGGCCATCTTCTGCTTTCCCAGGCCATAGCAAAGAGCTGGATTGATAGTGGAGGAGTCAGCATTTAAACTGGCACCCATATGGAATGCTGGCATTGCAGGCCACAGCTCTACCTGCTAGGCCACATGATTCTATATTTTAATCCCGGAATATTTCTAAAATGACAGAGATGTTTGTTTTAGTAGTGAATACTTATACTTCACTATTTTCATTTTGTTATCAGTCATATAATTTCTAATCATTTTATGACTTGCATATTGCCTAGTTCAATTTAATCCGACTGGAGGACAAACACATAGAGCATGTTAAATTAATAATTTATTGAGAAACAGAATTTGTTATTTTTAAGTTTTGTGAAGTATATGGCTTCTTCAATAGTAAACATACTTTCCTCTTTTAAAACACAGGTTTTGAGAGTATTTTAGAAGGGCTTTATGGACCACGGCTACGAAGAGACCTCAGTTTATTTGAAGGTAATTTAAAAATTTTTACTTTAAATTTTTATCTGTCCCATTTTACAAAAGAAAAATGGTTCTACACTAACTTTATATTAAACATGTATTTACTTTCTCTTATAACTAAAAAATATTTTTAAATTGACAAAGTAATTCCAAGTACTCCTTTTAGTATATAAGTTCTTTTTTTAAAGGTTGGTATACTAAATCAAAATAGAAAACAAAAGTTTGTTTATGGCTCAGTTTGTTATTTTGTAAATTACATGCCTTAACTCATTCTTAAACAGGATTTAAAAAATCAACCAAACATGTCAATTAATTAAATCAATTATTGTATGATGTTATTCTGTGTTTAATCAACTTACTGAATTATTTAATGTCGCCTAAAAGATTTGAGAGATCCATTTCTTGTAAGGTGCTTCCTGCTTTGATTTCCTTTTCAGCTATTATATCTAAAGGATATTCCAAAGTAGTAATAATTATGTCTTAAAGTTACCACTTTGTTTTCATACTGTCTTTAAACCATATTGAAATGCTTTTTCTCATGTTTGCCAAAAATTATGACTATTCTATCTATTTAAAATTTTTTTTAGCTTTTATTTAATAAATATTAATTTCCAAAGTACAGCTTTTGGATTACAGTGGTTTTTCCCTCCCCCATAACTTCCCTCCTACCCGCACCCCTCCCATCTCCCACTCCCTCTCCCATTCCATTCACATCAAGATTCATTTTCAATTATCTATATATAGAAGATCAATTTAGTATATATTAAGTAAAGATTTCAACAGTTTGCACCCACACAGAAACACATAGTGTAAAGTAGTATAAAGTACTGTTTGAGTACTAGTTATAGCATTAATTCACATTGTACAACACATTAAGGACAGAGATCCTACATGAGGAGTAAGTGCACAGTGACTCCTGTTGTTGACTTAACAAATTGACACTCTTGTTTATGGCATCAGTAATCACCCTAGGCTCTTGTCATGAGTTGCCAAGGCTATGGAAGCCTTTTGAGTGTGCCAACTCTGATCTTACTTAGACAAGGTCATAGCCAAAGTGGAAGTTCTCTCCTCCCTTCAGAGAAAGGTACCTCCTTCTTTGATGTCCCATTCTATTTAAAAGATTTTCTAAATATTTCTTGCATAAGTTGTGAAAATTGAATACAGTTTATTATATTAAGCTCAGATTATTTCCCCAAAAATTATGTTTCTTATGTGCATACAATTATTTTTTATAACATACAAAGAACAAAGGTTTATAATTAAATTGAAGATAATTTATTTTTATTGCTAAAATCTAATTTTTAAATTATGTTTGAGAAAGAAATTTTTAATGTATTGCTAAGTATAATTTTGGCGCCGTTATATATTTGTCATACAACCTTTATACAAGAAACAGTTTATCATTAATTATCAAAAGTCTAAATAAAGAAACTACACATACACACACTCCTATGTAGTATTTTTACTCTAAGATATCTCTGTAAAATAATCAAATCAATGTGCAAGTGATATATTGCTTATTATTGTCCTTTTAAGGTTGTTTTTAATTTATCTTGCTTTTATTTTAAAAAAGAGTGTTTTATACATTATTTATAGCTATAAATGGAATGTTTATAGCCATTAAGAGTTATCACATGGAGATATTGTTGGATTGAAAAAAAGCAAATTGTATTGAAGTGTTTGTGGTGGTTATGTTTCAAGTATGGATTATGGATGAGCCCTATATGAATACTACAGATTATGGACAGTTTCTCTATACATGATTTTTCTAATATCAAGCATAATTTCTAAAATAAGAAAAAAATTAAAATATAGTTATTTTTCTTACTGAAACTTACAAATACAATCGGAAAGAGAAATCTATTCCAGGCTAAGTGCATTATGTATTTTTGTGGTCACTAAATTTTTTCTGTGATATTGATGATACAGTGTGTGTACTAATAGTGTAAAATATCAAAAATTCCAGAACTAATGCAATTGATTGGAGTTTCAAATTCATGAACTCTTTCACATATAAATTGTGTTTTCTAAAACTATCTTTGGGTGAAAATGGGGTCTTACAGGTATGTACTCATATAAAGATAATAATTTTTTAGTCTTTCCTATGTAAATTAATTTATTTTTAAATATTTATATATTTGAAAGGAACAGTTAGAGATATCTTTTTTGTAAGAATTATTTATTTGAAAAGCAGAGAGTTACAGAGAGAAAGAGAGAAAAAGAGAAAGAGGTGTCTTCCATCTACTAGTTCACCCCCCAAATGGCCACAATTGCCAGAGCTGAGCCGATCCAGAGCCAGGAGCTTCCTCTGGTTCTCACACGTGGATGCAGTGATCCAAGGACTCAGGCCATCTTCCACTGTTTTCCCAGGCCATAGCAGAGAGCTGGAGCTGAAGTAGAGCAGCCAGGACTAGAAGTGGCGTCCATATGGGATGCCAGCACTGCAGGTGGTGGCTTTACCTGCTACGCCACAGTGCCAACCCCAAAATATCTTCTCTTTTCCATCTGCTGGTTAATTTCCCAAATGGCTGCAGTGGCCAGAGCTGAGCCAATCAAAAGTTATCTGTGAATTATCTTAACTGTATTACCAACAGGTTTAAAACCTTTGAGGTTCTTAAATCTTGAGGTCAGAGACATGATATTCAACTTTATGCCTTCCAGTTAGTTCAGTGTACAAAAGTTTTTGAATATCTAATTGAAGCCTTCTTGCACTAGGCTACCACAAGTCACAGGTTAACAGCAGTTATCTCCTACTGCCCATTGTAGAAATAATCTAAAAGGCAGATTATCATTCTGAGAAATACTGCTTCTCTGTTCAAATTTTTAAATTTTATGTAAGGTATAAAAATTTCATGTATTTCATGTATGTAGATTTAGGAATAATGACACTTTCCACCCTACCCTCCATTCTTCTCATTCTTTATTATTGTTGAGCAAGATAATTCATTCATGAGTGTTAGAGCTGAAAGTACCTATAAATGCTATCTTTCCCTATTACCAGTCTTCAGTAAGATGAACCATAGCTATGAAGAACATAGGAGGATAGAGACTCCAGAGTGTGCCCATTCCAGTGTTTTATCGTTCTTAATGGCTAAAGAGAGCTTTTTATTAAATCTCTTAATTTTAATATTTTTTTTAATTTTAGCATAGTTTTGCATTGAATTAAATATATTTTTAGAAATTTTTTATTTTTATTTTATTTGAAGGCAAGGAGACAGAGAAAGACACAAAGACAGAGGGAGAAGCCTCTTCTATCCACTGGTACATTTCCCCAGTGACTGTAATAGCCAGAGATAAGCCAGTCTGAAGCCAGAGGCCAGAACTCCATCTAGTTCTTCCATTTGGGTGGTCAAGGCCATAGTACCAGGACCATCACCTGCTGCCTCCCAGACTACACACTAGCAGGAAGCAGGATCGAAGCAGAGTATCCAGGACTTGTACCAGGCATGTGAGATGTGGTCAACATAAGCAGTGTCAACAGCTATTCCAGATGCCCACTTCTGAATTAAATATTTTTGTATGATATATTTATAAATAATATTGACTAAATATGGTTTCATGAGTGTTTCTGCTGAGCTTATGAATGAACAAAGGAAAAATCTAAAGAATCAAGAATTTAACCTATGATTGATGTTTTTTCAGCTTTCTTTTCTGCTGTCCTGTTTTCATGTTTGAAATCTGTGTACTTAATTACCTTCTGATAACACAAGTTGCAACTTGTGACTCTTAGTGTCTTGCTTCCCCACTTTCATTTATTTGTTCCTATAGTTATGTACATAGACTACATATATATTTTTTGTTCCTTCAGATTCATTATTATATTGAAAGACATAATGTTGTAAGGAAATATACCTGCAAAATTTTTTTAGGCATTTTTTTTTTCTGAGATTCATTTATTTACTTGAAAGGCAGAGTTACACAAAGAGGGAGAGACAGAGAAAGGTCTTTCATCCACTGATTCACTCCCCAAATGGCTGCCAAGCAGATCCAAAGCCAGGAATCAGGAGCTTCTTCTGGGTCTCTGACATGGGTGCAGGGATGGGTGAAGCCTTTGGGCAGCCTTCCACTAGTTGCTCAGGCCATTAGCAGAGAGCTGGATTGAAAGTGGAGCAGCTGGGACTTTAACCGGCACCCATATGGGATGCTGGCACCACAGGCAGAGTCTTAACCTACTACACTACAGCATTAACACCACAAGTTCTTCAGTTTCTTCCTTCCTCCCTCCCTCCCTCCCTCCCTCCCTCCCTCCCTCCCTTCCTTCCTTCCTTCCTTCCTTTTTTCAAGGAAGAACTCTCATATCTCACCCTCTGGGTTCACTCCCCAAATGCCTGCAAAGACTTGGGCTGGGTGAGGCCAGAGCTGGGAACCCAGAAGTTAGCCATTGCCTCCCAATATTTGCAGTAGCAGGAAACTGGAATTGGGACTTCCAGACTAGAACCCAGGCATTCTGATATGGAATATGGGTATCTAATCCACAAGTTCAAATGCCTGCGTATATCTCTTTATATATAAATAGTACATACTCATTTTTGAAAATTCAATAATATGCATGCGCTGGAAAGAAAAATATTGCCACAACCTCAGTACTCAGTGATAAATATATAAATGCAAAATACATATTGTGCATATTTATAATTTTGCTAAGATATCATATGCTGTATATATAATATATATATAATTTTATTTGAGTTATAATTTTTAGATCATTATCCTTAATTGCAGATTTTGTTTAATATTAGAATTAATTTAAATAATTTAAGATCACATTTGTTTGTATCCCATTCCATTCTTGTTTTTTAAGCTTTCATTTAATGAATGCAAATTTCATAGGTACAACTTTAGGAATATAGTGGTTCTTTCCCCTGTACCACCCCTAATCCCATCCCACCTCCTATGCCCTCTCCCATCCCATTCTGAAAATTCACTTTTAATTAACTTTGTATACAGAAGACCAACTCTACACTAAAGATTTCAGCAGCTTGCACCTACACACACATACACACACACAAACA